TTGAAATTGACAAGCGGCTTGTTATTTCAATGCGTTATAGGAACATAGAAACTGTCATGCATGTCACGTTAATACATAGTTATGTATATATGCATGTATATCTACATATGCATATGTATGCATGACAACACTTCTTTAGATTTAAATATAAATATTTAGGTTAATTTATGTGCTTTAAAATTTAGTAAGTTTATACAAACAACATTTAATTCAATTATTTATTGTATTTATTACTAAATGACTATATAGTTATATACTCAAAGCTTCATCTTTCGAAAATAATTCCTTTATACATATGTAATTCCCTCTGACATTATATGGCGCTGTACATATGTAAGTGTGTACATGTCCAGTCTGCAATATGAGGAACGCTTCTAAGAACGCTTTCAGAAGAGCATTTTCAAAAATAAACCTTCTCTATGGAAGAATTTCTACCAATAACCCTGTCATCCAATTTCTTATTATTAATTAAGAAATCTATTTGATTTATGATTTAAATCGTCAATCAAATAAAAAATAAAATACATTTTAATCAAACAAACCTTTCTTAATCAAAAAGAACGCAGAGAAAAACTGGTATCTAGATATTCATATAAAATATGTTTGTGATTTGATTCATCAACCAAATAAAAAAGTGTTGCCTTACAAAACAAAAGTATTTTTTAGTCCAAGAATGAAATCACAAGTCCATTTAATTTTTTATTTGTCCGATAAATTTAATCACTAATAAATTTTTTTTCGTCGAGGAATCACATCGCAAATAAATTCTATTGATTTATTTCTAAATTATTTAGGATTTGTTACAACTTTCAATTCAGAAATCAATTTTTTGCTTTGATTTGTGATTTGACTAATTCCAGGAACTGTTAAGTTTTTGTTGCTGATTTGTCGTTTTTATGCAGCTATTTATCTCTTCAAAGTACGATTGTTGATATTACATCGATATATCGATATTGACGATATTTTTTACTTCCGATACGATATTATTGGCGCGATATTTTTTTAGACGATAATATCAGATATCGATATTTTACGCACAAATATCGCCTGGTTACCAGAAAACATAATTGTGTGCTTTAGCTTACACCATAACCATTGGTTAATTTTTACTGCGCAATCGCTTAGTATACATACATATGTATTAATGTATGAATACATATCCTCACAAACATTCATGTTTGAGAACATTACCTAACTTTTTTTTACGTTTAAAATTCTGATAGCTACATTTTTTTAATTGTTGGAAGTCCAACAAGATCTTTCACTTTTGGAAAATGTATAATAAATAATACCGTGAGTTATACTTCTTTACTTATAGCTAGTATTCTTAAATATTGCTGTGAAATTTCAAATGTTTTTAGTGCAATGTATCGATATATCGATATTTCAAAAACTATATTATCGATACGACGATTTTTTAAATTTCGCCATTTCGATATATCGAAAAGCGATATTTTTGAAAATATCAATAATCCTAATGTAAAGCCGCAATGGTCCGCAAGCATTATTGATGCCAACTACATCACAAGCTGCATTCACGGCTTAAAACTCTGTGGAGCGCAGTGCACATAAATGGCAAGAGCAAATCCATTTGTATGTACGCTTGGGCTCCGTGGAATTCACCACTAATCGCTGGAGCTCCACCATATCCTTGACCATAAAGGTACGAACTATCTGTACCTACTTCTAAAATATTGTCACCTGAAATGCAAAAAGACATAATAACATCGTAAGGGTCTGATTATGCATACTTCGCATAACTTCGCACAACCATTTGTACCAGTGCCCTAAAAGTGTAACTTAAGAAAATGTGAGGCAAAATCTAAACTCAACAGACCGCTAAATTTTTAAAAGTTCTGCTAATTTCTGGGTAATGGAATACATACAAATTAGATACAAAGTACATACGAAATTACAGTTTGAAGTTTATGCGAAGTTGTGCGAAGTTATGCGAAGTATGCATAATCAGACCATAACTGGAATGCAAAATGTCGTAACTAATAATCTTTTTTTTCATAAAATGATGTGGGACTTGTAATTCGATGGAATATTATGGACATAGCAATCAAAAATTTAATTTTGAATTTTTTATTAGTTACGTCTTTTTACATTTCAGGTGACGATATACTCCTTGATAGGTCCTGATAACTATCTTAAAATCAAATAGGTGTTGAATTTAAAAATCCAAGGCTGCTTTGCAAAATAGTACTAAATTTGTTTTATCAAAATGTGTGGAAAACTAAAATGTTAGATTAATATACATACATATGTAAGGTGAATTAGATGTTTAGTTATTTTGCTTGAAAATCGCTTTAACATAAAAATTATTTTCTCAAAGAGGCAAATTTAAATTTTTTAAGGAAGCTTAATATATAAATTAAAGCGAGATGAACGCGAGCATATAACACCTTTCTTTATTGCATCATGCTGGAATAATTTAACATTAATATTTTTAAGTAGTATAGTTCATGACGCAATAATTCCGCCATGGTATAGTTCATGTTTCAAAGCTTTCAAAAATCTTCCGCGATAATTATAAGGAAGTAAATAAATCAAAATATTTCTACACAAAATATTTCTTCTATAAGGAACTAAATAAATCAAAATATTTCAACACATAAATTTGTCATCTAAATGTATTACTCGCAGCGTATTTTTGCGAGGCTAGGCTTCATTATTTGCTTTGTGTCCACAGCCCAGCATTCGTGCAGCAAATTGTCTAAGGATTTTTGCAAATTGACCTGCAATAACCGCTCACATACGCTCTGTGACAAGGTATTACATTTTCGCATGCATTAAAAATTCTTTTGATAAACCATATTGCAGTCATTTGCCGAAAATCAGGGAGCGAGCTATAATTGTAGCTATAAAGCTTATAAGGTATATGACAGCAAAGAATTGAAATTCTTAGGTATACGGGATCATCTCACCGTAGCACATAATGGCTTGCGGGCTCGAATCGCTCAACGCATGCATGTCGCCAATATGGTGCTGATCAATTGGAGTAGAAAATTATCACGAATGGCTGAAAATTGGGCGAAAATATGCCGACCATACGAGGATGACGAATGCACTCATTTATCGGCACTCACGGCAGTGGACAGTTTGCTCAATGTAACGAATGACGATCAGCTGGAACGTGGCAATGAATCGATGGCAATTAATCGATTTTGTGTCAATTTACCGTTTCTATCTAAGGAGCTGATACCAATGGCTTCATTTGTGGTATTTTGAAAAGGATTACTTGCGAGCACCTAACTGTCGGACGCATGGAAATTTAATGCTGGGATTTCTAAACGGTGAAAATAATTTTACGCATTTGGCTTATCCACTAATCAGTCGAATGGGCTGCAGTGTTGCTAAGTAAGTTCATGAACCCCTTAATTTTTACGACTGCATTTCATAGAATTCCGAACATAACTTGCAGATAGAATGATAGCTTTGTGCTTTGAATCATCAGGTTGTATTCATTTTTCAAGTTATATAAGACTATTACGACTAGTGTTTTAATTATGCGTAACAGTGTGAAAGTGCCGCTATCGCTAATTTCGATCAAATATCCAAAAGACTAGCAGGCGCGCCTTACAACATGCAACACCTGTTACTTTTCCATGTTGTATACTTTTAGGCCCTACTGCTTTTCATTTAGGGAATTTTGGTGGATAAAATTTAGCGCAGCGATGGTCAGAATTCCACTGCTGGCCTGAAATACTATTTTACTATGTGTAATTATTATAGTTTTCCACTAGATGGCACTGAATTTGAGACATTTCGCAATAACGACCCTAGCGTCATCTATTGATAAAAGAAATACATTTTCTTAATACCTGTTTCTTCTTTATATTCGGGAGATATACGCTTTTGACTAATAAAGCTCCAGCCGAAAGTTTTTAATGAGGGTGCTCTTAAACGTATTTTAACGAAGCATTATTGTTTCCCTGTTCTCAGTTTATAATTTCATTATTTTTCATATAATATAGACTGCATCAAGTTCACATGAAATTCGATGGCATTTTTTCCTGGACTCTCAAAACTTCTCACTCTTCCGCGGTCCGATGTTGTAAAATTGCAGTCCTCTTGAACTTGACGTGAAAAGTTGCTTAGTCCAGTTTTATTCAAATTTTACAAGAGAGATTATAAACCTCTCAAAGACATTTTCTTCAAGCAATAATTTTGCAAACAAAAATGTTAAACAAGATTTTGCTATTCCAAGCTAAAATTACTTCATACGAATATATTTCCACAATCACGGACGGTTTTACCCTCCTTTCCCGCCCATCTGCAGGAGCGGGCAGTCCGCATGACTTACATACATATATGTATGTACATTAGGGTGGTCCTTATGGTGGCAAAATATAGATTCCTCTATAGAGACTCAAAAAAATAAAATTATTATTTTTCCATTTAATACCCAAAATCGATACTACCATAGTCGAGGATACCACATATAAATTTCGATCCCAATTGTAGTCGGTTAAGGCATGTCACAAAGGGCTCAAAGGCTGGATGCCTCTATAAACTCAAAAAATTAAAAAAAAAAACATTTTTTTTTTTTCATTTAATACCCTAAACCGATACTACTAAAGTCGAAAATATCACATATAAATTTTGGTCCCTATTGGAGTCGGTTAAGACGTCTTCATAGGGTAATCTGAAATTTGGCCCCTGTGCGACATACCTTAACCGACCCCAATCGGGGCTAAAATTTATATGTGATATCTTCGACTATAGTAGCATCGACGTAGGGGTTGAGGATTAGAAAAATCTGATCCCTACTACAGGCATACCGATGGAATAGTCTTTGATTATGGCAAACCAGCATCACATTGTCCACCTAAATATCCATTAAAAGATCTCACATATCCGACATTATGCACACGCATGGATGAAGAAAATCATGCTGCAGCCGCCAAAATCACATGGGCTTTTGATTTTTATTCTATTACACTTTATTGGTATTTACTTTTCATTACAATGCATTATTTGTTTTTGTTTTTTTTGCTTAACTATGTAAATTTAGTTCCCTTTCTCTCCATACTGGTACGCAATAATGCAAAAAACTGATAAGACATGCTGATCACCTGCAGAGAAATGAAAATGTATGTACATAAATATTATATATGATTATATATATATATACATAGTTGTATACTTGGTTGCCTTATATATGTATATATTTCTTCATACCACGACAATTTGTGTTAAAGGCCGCTTAACTGTTTTGGTTTCACAAAATTCTACTCACTTTCATGTAGGCGCGAAAGGAAATTGGCGGCATGAATGGCGCCCGTATGGAGGCTGGTTTTTGGCTGCGCATTATCAATATGGTTAGTAAACGTTTGTAGCGCTTATCACAATCGAACCAATTTTGATTATAGGCCGCATCTCCAACTCGCATGCTCTGTAAAAAAATATTATTATGAATGTATTTGTACATGGATTGCTTTACCATGAGGGTGTATCCGTGGCCCGGACGGTATCCCTGTGAAGGTTCTAAAGGGAATCGGAAATTCACTCCCGAATATGTTGCTACAGATGTAAAACGCCTGCCTGAGAGAAGAAATATTTCCGGAAAGATGGAAAAAGCAGCAGCTAACGCTTATTGCCAAAGAAAAGGGGGAATCTGAGTCCCCGGCGGCATACCGGCCATTGTACTTGCTCGATACCGTGGGAAAGCTCTACGAACGACTTTTAAAACCACGACTAACAGCGGTAATACAGGAATGAGGAGGGCTGTCGCCAAGACAACACGGTTTCAGACCAGGAAGATCCACATTGGGAGCCATCCAAGACGTCGTTGAGAGTTTCCAGGACGCGCTGAAAGGAAACCACCACTCTCGAAAAATATTCCTCTTGGCAACACTAGACGTGAGAAACGCCTTTAATAGCGTTAGATGGACTGACATAATCGATACCTTAGAGTCCCGCTATCACGTACACAGCCAATTGATGAAGGTAATACGCAGTTACTTGCGTGACCGCATGCTCCTCCATGAAACAGGCGATGGAGTCATGACAAAGGCGATAACTTCGGGGGCAGCCCAAGGCTCTATATTGGGCGCCGACCTTTGGAACATAAATTACCATGGAATATTAGAAATAGATATGTCAGACGATACTCATCTAGTCGCTTTCGCAGATGATGTCGCAGCCTTAATTAAGGCCAGGGACACTGTAGAAGCACAAAGAAAACTCAACCAAGTCGTGCTACGTACCAAAGGGGGCTAGATAACCACGGTCTAAGGCTTGCCAATACAGAAATACTCCTGCTAACACAAACACGCATTCCTGTTGAAGTCGAAATTATGGTATGTGACACAGTAACTCTCTCCAAGAAATCTTTGAAGTACCTAGGACTAATATTGGACTGAGCGCAAATACAGCACGCAGCTAAGAAAACACAACTAGTGACAGCATCGCTCAGCAAACTGAAGGCAAATATTGTAGGACCAAAACAAAGCAAGATAAAACTCCTAATGAACATAACCAGGTCAATCCTTCTCTATGGCAGCGAAATTTGGGCAGACGCACTGGCAGCAGAATAAAGAAGGTGGATACTATCTTGAGTACCACGCACAGCTGCTCTTAGAATGGCATCAGCTTACCGTGCCGCATCTCAGCCAGCGATTCTAGTAATAAGCGGAATCCTTCCCATAGATCTAGTGGCTAGAAAACGCAAAATGAAGTGGGGATTGAAACAAGCCAAGGCCTCGCTGACGACTGTGCAAGAAATAGAAGAGCAAATACAGGCCCTGTGGCAAAAGCGTTGGCATGCAGAAAAAAAGGGAAGATGGACAGAAAAACTAATACCCAAATTTCAAGAATGGACAGATAGAAAATTCGGCGATGTAAATTATTACACAACCCAACTTCTCTCCGGCCACGGATACTTCATGAAATACCTCCAACATATGGGCAAGGCAGAGAGCCCGAGCTTTTTGTATGATGCCGAGCTAGACGACGCAGAACATACGTTCTTCAAATGCCGACAATGGCAAAGAGAAAGGGATGCGACAAATAGGCAAAATCACCGCAGAAAACATAGTCAAAACAAGTAAGAAAGTCTCTAAGTTCGGGCGGAGCCGAACATTAAATACCCGGCGCAAGTGTTAAATATATGTTTTTTAACCTTCCGAAACCTTCCGCTAGATGGTAAGCCGAGGTGTATCAATTTTGAGTAAATTAGCGTCCTTCAATTTCGAAATATTGAAGTTTCAAGCATTTCTTAAATTTACCGTTATATGAGAATCGGCAGTTATTTTAGTCCGATTTCAATAATTTTCAACTTTTTGCTTACACGTGGCAAGTACAATAACCATACCGAGTTTGGTACAAATTGGTAGAACGGTTACCGATATATTTATGTGATCATAAGTGGGCGGTGCCACGCCCATTTTCCAAAATTTTACCATAAACGTATTTCTTGGTAAAGAATTGTTGCAAGCATCAATTTTGAATAAATTAGCTTCAATATTTAATGATTTATCGAAGATTTTGTATTTCTCTAAATTACCGTTATATGGGATGTGGGCGTGGTTATTGTCCGATTTTAAAAAGTTTCGGCGGTTTTTTATGCTGTACCAAGGCCAACAACTGTGCCAAGTTGGGAAGAAATTGGTGCAGCGGTTACCAAGATATACACATGTAACCATAAGTGGGCGTGGCTACGCCCATTTTCCAAAAATTTATAATATTCTTATTGTTCGTCTAAAACTTATTATAAATATCAATTTTGAGTGAATAATCTCCAGTAGTTACTAAAATATCGCAGTTTTCGTATTTCTGGAAATTACCGTTATATGGGAAGTGGGCGTGGTTAAAGTCCGATTTCGCCCATTTTCAATACCAACCTACCTTGGATTAAGGGAAACCTACATACCAAATTTCGTTGAGATATCTCAATTTTTGCTCGAGTTATCGTGTACACGGACAGACGGACAGACGGACAGACGGACGGACGGACGGACAGACAGACATGGCTTAATCGATTTCTTTTTTCATCCTGATCATTTATGTATACATTTGTCTATATCTATCTCGATTCGTTTTGGCTGTTACAAACAACCGTTATGTGAACAAAATTAATATACCCTTGTGCACAAGTGCGCTCGGGTATAAAAATGACGAGCAACGTACACAGAAAATATCTTGAGAGTCAAAAAACGAGAGCTGGACACGCATAGTGAGCTACAAGGGGCGGTGCTGGACGCAGGACAGTAGAAGAGTCTGAAAATACCTCTGGACCTCTACCCCGAAGTAATGTGAAAGCGGTTCCAGGGTAAGGGTAGCGAAGAGTCCAGAGAGAGGGGGTTTTTTAGTGGCCACACCACATAAATACGTAACAGCGACGGCTGTTATAGATCCAAAGGGATTTTTCGCCCGCCTCTCCAGCCAAAAAAAAAATAAAAATGAGAGTGTATCGTATTAATATCCAATTGAATTTAGCGATTCTAATATTTTTACCTAACGTAATAGGTACCTTATTTATGTGTCATACTCTATGCTCTGTCCTAGTATGTTGCTCTCGCCAGAAAGGACTAGTGCTGGCTGGTTAAACAAAAAGAGTGCTTCTAAAAGGCTGCGTACGTGGCATTATTAAATTTTTTAATAAAAACATACATTTACAAATGTACCTAGTTATGAGGGTGTATCGTTTTTCAGCTCTGTATACATATTTACATAAAATTCACTTACCGCCGTCATCAGCTCGTCACCATAATAGCAAACCACAAATACTTGCACCAATGATGCTGTGAGAAAAATAATATATTTTACAATATCTTCTTTAGATGAAGCAGTCACTTGAAATCCAATAAAGCAGATGGTCAACGAAGCAGTTAAAAAATTCAAGAGCAAAGAGAAGCTGAAAATGCTGTTGACATGTTCGCTCAACCTGCAACGGAAACAAAGCAAACAATATTCTAAACATTTTCGTATTTCTGCCATCTCTGCCAATTCTACAACTCACTTCAGACACTTGGCATGCTTCACAATTAAAGCCTTCAAATACTCCAAATCCTTCTGCACATCCGACTGCGATGCGCCACCAAACTCCTCGAGGCAACGTGAAATGAAATCGAAGTGCATACAAAGTTGTGTCACCGAGGCCACCAATACAAGGTCGGCCGAGAGGAAGGCCACACCAGCCAAATATGCGCCATGCACTTGTCCCAAATACGTGAGCCAGTATACCCAATTCTTTTCGGTTGTTTTATATGGATACCATATGGCGAAACCAAAGCCACGTTCAAACACTGGCGCATCCAACAGCCAATACTGCACCGATGCTTTAAGAGCCGGATAAATGCTGAAGGTCGAAGTATAAGCTAGGCAAAGTAACGTAAATACGGCCATTACACGTCGCATAACACGTTCACGCTGCGGCAATTTGTAAGCATTCTGCTGCTTAACGGTTTTTGGGAATATCTCTTCCATTTGATCGAAATGTTGACGCAACGTAACGCGATGTACTGTCATAGCGATCTGCTTAAAATTGGCCACAAAAGAGAAGCCAATACAAGGTGCAACACCGGTGGCCTCCAAAATGGTAGCGCTCGAACGTAAAGCTTTGACAAAGAAGATAATCTCACCCATAACGAGTAAATTGAAGTTAACGAAGCCGATGTGCAGGAGAAGCTTGAGCAGTAGACGACGTACGCGATTGGAGGAGCGATGTTCGTACAGATCCTCACCGATCGTTTTGTAAAACACAATTGGAATGTGTATAAACTCACTGAAAGTGCGAGCTAACAGCGGCATGCTTATTGAATTTTGATTTTGAGAAGATATGCAACCGATGATGTGAACGACACTAAGCAGATTAGTGAAGTGCGTTGCGGAAATAAATCTTAAGCACAATTTGTGGAAATTATTATATATATACAAAAAAGTTTTCATATGCTTGCATACAAAGGCACATACATATGTTTGTATGTAATATGCCAGTTTTAAGCCTAGTTGGTAATGTGTTGTGAGAAAACTTGCACATGTGCTGTGGGAGAGAATATTTTTAAAATGTTTGTGCAATGGTGAAAAACTTGTTGAGCTAACTTGTTCTTAAAAGTACTTTAAGTTAATCAGTTGGCTGATGCTTTTCCACAGAATGAACTCGATAATACTTGTCTTCGGAAAATTAAGATGACAATCGTTTATTAGTTTATTTTATCTCTTTAACAGCCGGTTTAACCAGCAATTTAAGAGGAAAAAATTTTTTTTTTCCTTCTGTCAGTTTTCATATTAAACTCAATTTAAAAAATCTTGTTTACCATTATTTTGAAGAAGTTCATCAAACATGGCAGTTAAAGGGCTTAAATTTTCTGAAAAAAATATTAAATACGTAAGTAGGATATTTTGCTAGGGTTGGTTCAGATAGGGTTAAAAAAGACTGTTAATGGAAGGAGTTTAAGAGATACGGCAAATTTCATAAATTATTTTATCAAAGTGGAAAATTTTCAATTCCTGAAAGCTTTTTTTTAATTTGCGTAGGACGTAAAATATGTAGTCCTTTTTCTTTGACAAAAGTCTTGAAAATTTTACGAACATAAATAAACCTAAATCAGATATGGAAAACGAGGATGTATCGCTCGTTTGCTGAAATAACGGCATAACTCAAAGAATCAAAAATACTAGAAAATCGACTTCAAGTGGATCTTAGTCTCGCTCTTCCCATTTAAAACAAGTAAATAATTACAAATCAATGAATGTATTCAAAGTATTTCAATTAAAGCTTCCTTGCAGCAAATGAAAGCTATGTGTATAACTCCATTTTTTTTTTAATATATTGCGATTTTGGAATATTGCTTGAGAAAAACCAAAAATACATTTTTTGACATTAAATTTCATAGCTTGCTAATTATGCCCCGAAAAAGTGATAATTTTGCCTATGTGCGCCGTCGACAAATATATGAAAGTGATCGTTATGAATTATTTTTAAGTGCTTCTTTTCAGCCTTCAGAGCCAATAAACATCAAGTGCGGTTTTAATCATTTTTGAATTTTTATTAATTGTTTTATCGAAATAATTAATTTAAATTTCAATTTTTTGCATACCCGTTATACATTAGTACATTAAGACTAAATCTTTTAATGCACAATAAAAAATTAAAAAAATAAAAATAAAAACATTAAGTGTAAGAAATCAAGAAAGTATAACAAAGAATTAACATATTTTATGGTTATAATTATACAAAGTTATTACAATAACCAACTTGGAAAATTTGTAACCATTTTAAGTGGTTTTATTAGAAAAATAATCAGTGATAATACCTTTGAAATTGTGATTAAGTAAAAAGTTCTTCAATGATGCTGATAGAGAGTTCCAACAGTTTTAAGTCATTAACAAAAAATAATCTCGACGTGTTAAGATCAGGGACGGAAAATAATCGTAATTGTTTCAAATTTTAACCAGAAAAATCAACAATCCTACTGTAATTTGCAATGATTTCTATTTTTCGGCTTCAATCAACAAAAATTCAAAATAATAATTAATATTTGACTTTCATTTTTTCGTGCAAAGGAAATTATTATTACTTGACTTTTTCTTCGAACAAAAATAATGATTATTTTATAATTTTTACTTTTTCCCCCAAAGATAATAATCATTATTGAGTTTTATTTTTTCACTTAAGAGTAATGATCATGGAAAAAAACTCAAAAGCTATACCAGCGTGATTTCCAACGTATGTAGTAGCACGTAAATGTAGTGGCACCCTAATAAAAAGATAAAATGCCAAAATTTTCAGGTCAAAATTTCAGTAGATTGCGTCTGTATGGCCTTTTCTATTTTATAATAGTCATTATTTTTAAGTGTAAAAATAAAAATCATAAAATTATCATTATTTGTCTTCGAAAAAAAAAACTCTATAATAATTATTATTTTTAATCGAAAAAATAAAAATCACAAAATAAGGATTAAATGCTGATTTAAATTATTTTACTCATAATGATTACCGTCCCTGGATCAAATAATAATTATATTTCGGTAAAATAAAATTGGAAGAGCGTACACTTCTAGTGAACTTGAACGGAACTGTCTCAATCTGGAGAGATATTATGGAACGTGAAAAACTCATTAAGCTCATGAGCATCAAGTGAGCAGGGCGTATTAGAGCTGAAAGTTACTCTCATCCGTTTTAAATTCGACCAAAAATTTCCTTTTCTACTTTTATTTTCATTTATCTCATTGGCTAGCATTGCCTCATAATTTACTGTAGCGTATTGCATATTGCATAAGTGTTACTTGTATTCACACTTGAAGATTTTGTTTGCTGCTTGCCATATATGTATGAAATTTAGAGGTGAAAACTTAAGCAATTAACAAACCAGAAACAATTAACATTAATATCCTTATGATATGTTAGGTTATAAAAACTTTAGTTTCACTTACATAAGAACCTGCAATTATTTGAATGAAAGGTGTAATAAACACAAAGTTTTAAACTTTCGTTTCACAACATACATACATACATATGTATTTATTAGGAAGAGTAGAAAATACACCCGCATTCGCCTTGATGTAAATTTAAGGGTAGAAGAATTAGGAAGTTTATAAATTTAGTTGTGCACATATTTACTTACTCATGGAAAGTTTTTTTTTGTCCCCTCTTTGTTCTTATATACAATTTGAAAATAATACCACATCTAACTACTAGCTTAGCTTCTACGCGCGACCCGCCCACGTGATTAACGTTAGTCAATATGTTATGTAGGAACATAATTTTAATACCAATGATATATTGTTATATTTTGTTTAACAAAAACAGAGAAAATTAATTTAAATAAATTTTGAAAATGTGGCAAGTCTCTTATAAAATGCTTTGAAAAAAATTTCGTGTAAATATGTCCGATACCTTAATGTAATTTTTCACGTTTGACAACCTTTTTGAAGTATTTCATTGAACTTATCAATTAAATGGATTTTAAATTACGAAAAATGTGGCAACCCTCTCTAAAAATAAAAAGTAATTTCCAAACAAACCTTATTCAACCTCTCGTTTAATGACTTATGTAGTTCGATAAATATATGTCGTTTGATACCCATATTAAAATATTTGATTTAACTTGTTAATTAAATTGGTTTCAATTTTTTGAACAGTTGGCGGCCCTCTTCAAAAATATTTTTAAACGAAATCGTTTTTGAACCCCTTTTACTTTTTGAAAAAAATAATATATTTTAATTCAGGCTCTAGCCTATCAGTTCGGTAAATTTCACTAAAATACGTTGAGCCGTTTTAGCGCGAAAGAGCAACAAACATACAAACTCACTCACTCACAAACTTTCACATTTATAATATTAGCAAAATAAAATCCTTTTATTTGCATATTTATGTATGTACATATGTTATGAACATAGGTATGTATGTCTTGCCATAATTCGTCATAATGTAGCGAAGCGTCAAAATTGCAGGTTATGAATTTAAATAAATCCTTACACACATTGAAATCATAAAATGTTAGCCAGCCAATTTTGCGCTTTGACATAGTAGTTACATTAAAAATATCACACACTGTCTTTAACAGAGGCACAACTCAATATTTGGAATTTTTGAAATATTTGTTAAAAATGTTCACAGAGTTTTTATTTACCTTTCAGCAAAAACTGGAGCAATTTTTTATTATAATTTGTTTAAAAAAAAAAAACTTAGGTAAAGTCTCCCTTGCCGATATGATTATCATGTGTTTAGAAATATTTAGTTTTTCGCATTTTCTAACAAACGTGTATTTTTGACTTGTGTCCCCTTCGAATACGGTGTGCGATATATTTATATATATATATGTGAGTGTCAACTAAAAAACACTGTGCCAATATTAAAAGCATGTCTTTCACTGAAGCGTTAAAATGAGCGCTGATTATATTATTTTTTACGTTGGTTTAGCAAAATTAAATACGAAACTCAATAAATACATGCATACTTATGTACATGTCTATGTACATATGTAACTACAGCTTAGGAATTTTTTCATATTTTTTGATTGGCATATTTGAAAACATATTAACTTTGTGACGTTGTATTTACAGAACATTGTTCCAAGTGATTGATGATGTGACTAACTATAATCATGCATACATACATACATACAAACATACAAATGGATTTCATAGTATATTTAATACATTACATCGAAACAAAAGTCTACCGCTTAAATAGGGATCCATCTTTATTCCTTACTAGTAAATACCCGGCGTGCTTCACGGCGCCTTAAACGTATTTTTGTCCTGTTTGATATCTGTATTTTAATGTTTCATTTATTTTATCAATTTAATTGAATACAATTTCTCAAACAGGTGGCAACATTCCGCAAAAATATTTTCGGCAGTAAACTTTCCTAAACCGCTTCAGTTTGATACCCACATTGCAATATTCAAATTATCTTATCAATTAAATTAAATTAAAATTTTTAAACAGGTGGCAACCTTCAGCAAAAATATTTTCTTAAACCTCTTTTTTTTAACAGTCACCGTATTCACCGGACTTAAACCCAATGGATTTTTCCATATTGTCCATACTCGAGGCCAAAGTATCAACTAAAAAATATTAGAAATTCACCACCTTGAAGGTTGTTTACCCCTACTGGGGGCAAAATATCACCAGACCACATTCGTGCAGCCTGTGAAACATTCCCGCATAGGCTCGATGTTATTATTTACAGAACAATAGCATCTTTATTTGGTAATACTGCGAGCGCCTACCCCTGTAAACTATAAACACCAATCAGCTCTTTCACAACTTACATCCCCAAAGGAATAAGTGGTCGGGAGGC